AAAGGGCGGGCACTCCGGGTTGGTGGTGATGATGAGCCGTGTCCTTCTTCGTCTGTGTCAGCCATGGACTCTCCAATAGGTGGTGATAAACGGTCGGAGTTGATGAGGATGTATGGTTTTGCATCAGAAAAGCTCGTATGGCTGGCGTAGATTGCTGGGCATGCTGCAGGTCCCCGGCTTGCTGTGACCTGAATTCTTGCTGTAGCCGGGTGGTAGGCTTGATGTTTTTGCTAATCTTGGGTAAAGGCGGGGGTCCATGGCGTTTCTTCCCCATGACGATGAAAATTTTAAGTTTAATTAGGTAGAGATCAATAAGGTTGGAAGGCGCAAGCTAGGGTGGGGTGCATTAGCCCTGTTTATTTCAATCTGTTACGTAATAAACAAGTCTACAGGGGTTTTGCCTGGTGGCTAGGTTTTCCCCACTTAAGTTTAAGGCTTTAGGCTTAAGATTCTCAACAATGCTCTGATACCAGAAAACCATTTTGTTTGTGTTAGTCACCCTTTGAAGGAGGTGAATAGAGTTTGTTCAGCCCCAAACATTTCTCTACATTTTACTACTCAACCAATATATTTTCTGGACATCCACAGCGCCCTAGAGAGAGTGTCAAGGACAAATGTTGACCAGCAAAATTGATTAATTATACTATACTATAACTTTGTCACTATAACTTTGTCTACCTCATTGCCAGAATCATTTAGGTGTCTCAAATGGTTGGTGTGTGTACAGGTACACTAAGGTCTTACCCACACCCCATGTGGGTATCACACATGGGATGTGTGTAATGTGGGTGTTGAAACAAAAAAGCATGTATACCAAAGCATGTATACCTATTTCCCCTATTCCACCCATGGGTGTTATGGCAGATCTGAGGGTGTCAAATGATACTCCAAAAATTTATTATGTGTGCAAATACTTGGCTCAACCAAGTCACCAAGTTACACAACACTCCATGACTTGGTTGTGTCATGTTTTTGCATGCACAGCCTAACATGCGGGTATTAAGGTGTTTTTGGGCCATAACTTTTTTCGCCTGGGTGCTATGGCAGATCTGAGTGAGTTAAAAGATACTTTGAGAGTTTTTTAATCTTAATCAAACCCTTCAAACATATCATTAAGATGA